CCAATATCTTTCGATTATTTTCATTTCGATCTAGTTATCCAATTATCCATGGAATTGATAAATATATACAATAATAGTATTTACAACAATAACTGGAACTAAGACTTATTATAATAGGTTGTTACCAAAACAAGAATAACATGTGAAATAAATAATACCAAAAAGCAAAAATAACTTACAAGTTGGAATAGATACCTACCTACGGTAAAGAATTTAGAAAAGTTTAACTTTATGACTTTGGAATGTTCTATTCCAGATTTCATTTTTCGCAAAATAAGAACCTCTCATTCTAATGACAAAAGCAAAAGTCATATTCCCAATCGTACAAACTACACACGTACATAACACACTAAAAGCGCATTCAGTCAGTTACTCAAACTAAGGATACATTCAACAAAACAACGGAACGTTATCAATCCCGCTTTTGGCCATTCCCATGAGTATTATAAACTTGGCTACAGGGGTAGATTAAAATTCTCCTACGCCTTTGACTGTTAATCTTATAAATAGCCCTTTTGCATTTCGTAATCTGAACAAGAGCAGTGCGCCGTCTTCATTTGAATGAATACTTTTCAATTATTTGTTTGGGTCTGACATAAATTTGCTAGATGTTGATTATTCAATAAAAGCCAATTTGCTGCAACTTGCGCCATATTATGGGGTGCTATACATGGTTCTGTGTCACACGCCACATGAAGTTTTTTTCATTCATTTAAAGGCGATTAGTAGCAACTACTAATTGAACATGTTTACAATGATGTTAATTAAAATAACTGTTGTACCATTTTATTCTCTTGATGCAATACCCAAATGCGACAAACCATTATTAACAAACATCCGATGTAGTTAAATCACGAAAAACAAAAAAATCATTTAACAGTTCTTTTATTGCAATTCACTGGTACAAATTAAACGAATTTGTGCAGTAAATATGTGCCGTAATGCAGTCAGTTCACAGTAACATAAAATAGAAGCATTAAGTATGCGAAAGTTATTGATTCGTTGAGCTCCGCTGAATTCCATTGTTAAATCCGAAGGTGCAATCACGCTGTTGCATGGATGTAACCTCATACTGACTGTTTAATTTGGCTCATGTTGGTGATATGTCTGAACCTCAGACATAAATTTGTACTTACGTTTTGCACATGCATTAAATCGATCGTTCCTAATCTAACGCCATAATTTTTCTCTCCCAACCAAGCAAAACAGATCATACGACGCATAATAATAATTTTCTCTGCGGGGAATTATGTGTTTACCTAAATGTTGTTGGCGCTTTGCAAATATTTCCTTGTACGTGCGTATTTCACGTTTCACAAATGTAGAAATTTCCTTTTAATAAACGTTGGTAAATTATTTTGGTATTTACATTACGTTGTGAACTACTTCCCCACATCGAACGGCTTGTTTCTTTTGTTTAAATATTTAAAAACGGTGGGAACTAACCTGTAGAGATTTCATATTCCTTTTAGTCTGTGAAAATCGCCCAGGGCGACGCCAAGATGAATTTTAATGGCATTTAAAACACCCGCTTACAATAATTTCGTATTATTAAATTAAATGCAGTCACGAACTGAAAAGAGTTTGTTATACCTACGCCAATTTACCGTCTAGGAATTTCGCTAATTGTAGTATTTTTGGTGTTAACTTCCTCTTCGGTTTGGAATTTCGATCATTTTTTTAATTTCTTTGGTAGGCAACCCTACGTAGCTGTACTGATGAATGGCCATTTTATGTATCGCCCCATCGATCTCTGTTCGCATGTTAATTATGATGTTAATCACGTCCTTTTTCTTCTCCAATGTCTTTGCAATGAATAAGACTAGGACATCTGCACTAGTTGATTGTAAGCAACTTTTAGGGTTGCACTACCTGCAGCAAAGTAACAGGAAGTAGAGATTTCCTGGAGGATTTCTATACATTAAATGTCGTGAGAACCTCTTTTGCATGCCATAGTTTGAATGCCACACCTGTCTTATACGACAATTATAAGCTGTTAGGTTTTATTACATGTATGCAAGTTTGTAATTGCAGTAGTTGGCATCTGAACCAAATGGAGAGAATTAACCGATTTAAAATCTCATTTAGATGCAAAACAGTGTAAGTACTCGTGTATCGCCTTTATCGTAAACATAAATTTACCACAAGTTGTAGTTCGATAGGATTTCAAGCAAAAGTCGGTTTCTATTTTTCTTGTCCTCCGTACTCCAACTGGTTTTTATTGATTTTCGATTGACATGCACCAAAAGACTCAGTTTTCACCTACAACCTTTAATGCTGTTTCGTTCTCACCTACTGTCACTTTTATTTAGCAGGATGGGAAAATAATAATAATAATAAATGCCTTTATTGCCCAATAACTCAATGACTATCGAAACAAACATCAGCTTACTGCATAATTGTGGGCAACAGGTGCAAGTTCAGGGACTGGCCCTTAATTACGAAACGAATATTCCATTTGAGTTTTTTCGTGATGGTCTTTATTTGTATTGTGATAGGTGGAATATTTTCAATCGAAAGTGCTTTATCCGTGTGTTCTAGTTGTGACAAAAATCTTGTGACATGCCCGTTAAACTCTGGCACCACAATTGGAAAACGTGTCACGCAAATATTCAAAATTACAAGTTACGTTATTCACAACTCCTATTAAATTCACTGTACACTTGGAATTTCCTCAATGAAGAATGATCGATTAGCAATCGAATCATAAAACATCTTTCCACAAATTAACAAATTGATGTTTCTAGCAAAAATTCGCACGTATAGGGCCATAGTACAAGTAAAACATATAATGAAACTCTTACCTTGTAATAAAGTTAGATGTTGGCGCCAAGAAATGAGCTGAGTTCGCGCATCCAAAACCTTAAATTAGTCAAAAGCCCGCAGGTCTTAGTATATAATTAGTTGAATAATGCCTGAGGGGCCTCGTTCTACTCGTAATCTGCTTCTATACCAGGTGCGTTACTTAATTGATCAGCCGCTTCATATCCAACCGAGATGGAAAAGATACTGAATAGGTACTGAAGTACACAAATTACTTGTAATCGCCTATAACCTTGAAGAGGCAAAACAGTATTAGCTAAGACACTAAAGAGTTATGGAAGTTGTTCCTTTATTGAGGATCGAATCTTGATAGTAAATCTTCTTCATGACTCGTTTACCCATTTTACAGCAACATGGCAACTCATTATAAGCTAGTGGAATATGTCAAAGGTCGACACTCGCAGGTATTTGATGCAAGGTTACGTAAATTCGTATGTGGAACAAGGAGAGTATGTAATGTAACTTATCCGGAATTTACACCGGTACTGAAAATTAAAATTGAGACCGGAGCTAAAAATGGGAACTAAAACTTGAACTAAAATTAAAACCCTAAAAGAAATCAAAGGTAACCCTCCTTCGTTGGTGACATAATATGTACATAGCTCTTCTCGCAAACTCCATTTTAAGCACATCCTTATCCATAACAAAGGAAGAAATTTGCACTCTAATAGAGTTGTTGTAATAAATCTAACTCTTGTAAGATGTATTGACGAGAGAAAAAGTTGACTGTATTTTCGTAAGAATTGACAATTTTCTTCATTTTTACTGACTGCCGAGTTTTCATTACTCAATGAGAATTCCAAAAATTAAAAAATACTTGAACAGGGTTACCATATTAGTAGGGCAAAGCACCCGTAGTATCGATTTTATTACCCAACATGTTTTCTTCGCAAAACGAAATTAATACAGGGTTAGGAGATGGAAAACTTCCTCCCAAATCTCCGAGAATAGATTAACTCAGCAGGTAAGTAGAGGTAAATAATTTAGATTTTATGTTTTAATTCAGTATATATTTCAGTTGTAGGAGTTTGCTGGAGAAGTCCATGTTATTGATTTTATTGATGTATTGCTCCATATGGAAATTATTTATGATATATAAGCAGGTAAGTAGAGGTAAATAATTTAGATCTAGATCTAATCTAAATTATTTACCTCTACTTACCTGCTTATATATCATAAATAATTTCCATATGGAGCAATACATCAATAAAAAAAAAAAAAAGATTAACTCAGTTTTAGCTGGATCGAGGAGGAGGGGTTGTCAGTTCAAAAAGGAAAGAACGCTCCTAAAAGGAAAAAAACTGGGAGAAGACATCCAAACGCCAGATCCTAAATGCATACATATGAAAGCTATGAATAAATTGATAGCACCTGATTTATTATTTAAACCCAGGCAACCAAGACTGGAGCGAGTCTCAGATTTCATTAAAGGTTTACCGGCCACTCCCAAAGAGGAGACCAACGCAACACCTAAGCTTTCACCAAATATGTAGAAAGAAAATAAAGAAATAAGACATTCGAAACCCAAAGTGAGGAAACTTGAAGTATGGTGGACAACTGTACGGACTTCAAGGCAGCATGGACTACCGCATGCAAGGTGTGGCCCGAAGGGGCGACAAGAAATGTGATAATTGAGAAAAACAGTGGCTCGAAAACGAAGTAATTTTATATGGTAAGAGGGAAGGGGAGGAAAAAGACGATAGAATAAACATGGGAAGACGACACCCTGAATTAAAGATAGGATCGATAAGCTACAAACACATAGGGGCGACATGATAAAGGCGGAAACCATAATTGTAGAAGGAGTAGACGAGGAAATTGAAGGCAAGGAAGAGGAATTAAGGACCCACGGATATCGAAAAAACGCGTAATAAATACAAGACGGTTGAAGAGACCACCAAAAGGGTATCAGCAGTTTTGATCAAGCTTTCTTTGCGGTTTTTTAGATTCCATTAACGAGCAAGGGAAAATAGATTTAATCTCTGTAGCCTCACCATAATGTGGGAATAACACATTGATATTGATAGTTTAACAAAAGTCCGTTGAGAGAATCATAAAACTTAAATAGTGGAAACCGTTTTCTTTGCTATTTTTTCTTCTAATTTTATCAAATATGTGGTGGTTGATTTTGGATGGTAGATCATCGGAGATCTATGGTTCAGCATTATATAAGCAAATTTAGGTAGTGCATTTGGTCGTTTTCACAACGAATTATATTTGCGGATTTAATTTTTAACCGGAAATAATTATTCAAGTTGACAGCTAAAAAATATTATTTATCCTATGGGCAGCGTCCAATATTGCTCAATTCCACGACTGAAAACAAGCGATTACTACAGTTTTAAATTAAGAAAATAATGCCTTACTAAGTCCACAATATTGTGCGCACCGGAAGCGCGACATATTGTTATAGGTAACTCTGTTGGTACCGCACACTGGGCTGTATTCTGCTGTCACGCCGCAAGTTTGTATGCATCTTCGAAAAGCGGGCGGAGCGGTTGTTGTAAACGGAAATTGAGTCGTCGAGCTGATAATCGGAGGTTCCCTCATTGGAGCACCCCCACCGTCGTTGGGATTTGGTCTCCTGTTTTGCTGAACTGGTGGGTTTCTAACGGGAGGAATGTTACCTATGTTTTGTCCGCTATTTTGCTGGATTGGTGGGTTGCTTGGAGGGAAAGCAGCATTGCTACTTAAGTTTGGGACTCTGTTTTGCTGGTTTGATACGATGGTAATTCCGGGAGGCAGTTTTTGAAGTGGTGGAGATGAGACGCGAGTGTTGACATTTGCATTGGGATTTGTCGGTTGCGGAACCTGAAGAGTTGGTGCGGAAGATTGGAAGGAGGTGGCCGGAGGGCGCGAATTTTCACGTTGGTTTGTATTATACAATCCGATTTCTGATGAAAAGTAGTCGTCCTCGTCGTCGTAATGCTGTGAGTGCGCCGTATTAAAATGCACTGCTGCAGCAATACCTGCCAAACAACAATCGAATTACAAACTGCATCATTCGCCTTTTTTAGTTACAAAATTGAGTATACCGGTCTACTCCTGGTTGACAATGACTTACGACGTTGGATCATATTAAAAGTAAAAAAATTAACACTTACACAGAAATGAATAAAGCAACATTTTAATCACTGACTGTTACTTAACTTTCCAACAATGAACTGAGAAAATGTAGCACAATTATCACCAAACGTTAATTAGTTTCTAATTGCTGGGCCATGTATGACAAATAACTTATAGTTACCTACTTAAGTCACTTTTTGGAATAGATTGACGAATGTAATAAATGCATCTGCCACCCGACGATGTTTTATTTTAGTGTCTGGTTGATATAGTTCGGAAGCCAAACGTATGCCTTAGGGAGAATTTAGTGAAAAAAATTAGACTGTAAATTGTAGCATAGTTGCTAAGAAATTCTTTGAGCTTCCCCTTTGCTTCTCTAGTCCGAAAGCAATTTTTAGCGCATTTTTGAAAAAAATACGCTATTATATTCGTTATGGCTGGCTGGCCGGCTGTCCGGGTGAGATCTCAGCAAGTACAATAGCTAGAGACATCAAATTTTCACTAAAAGCTTTCTCATGTAGCGTAGATGTTCAGGCTCTAGTCTATTTTGAGTTAGATTACTTGTGAGATCGATAATTTAAGAAAATAATTTCGATATGGTTTTCGGAGGTGCTATACTTTTACCGTTAGATAGCGCTACCAGTATAAAAACTTAATTTTATTACCAAAAATGTGCTTTAATCATGCATATGCTGATTTACAACTTGTTTTTGTAGGCGTCCTCTACAAATGGGTGCGTGAAAAATGCAAAGTGCGCTAATGAATTAGTGGTCAAATGGTTAAATTTATACACGAAATCGATTATTCGTTTCCAACACAGAATTGGGGTTCGGGTGTTCTGAATAATTAACCGAAGAGTAATTTGCATTGTTACCAACTACCTTCCATGCCTTAATCTAGTATAAGCTACACACTACACACTGGCATATAAGCAGAGGCAGCTTGATAAACAATACAACCAAATGTTGCGCGTTTTAAAAACACCTGGGTGCCTGAAATCGTGTTAGGCTTTTTGGAACGTAGACAATGGTTTCGAGGTTTTTGACACTTGTTTAGGCGAGTACCTACTAAGCATTTTCTACATTACATGCATCACCTTTACAAATATACCCGACGATTGAACCGACCGCAAGGTCTCCCGACTCTTCACTCTTTTGGGGCAGACTTTATGGGCTTTTATGATTCCCGGTAAACGGTAAATCCGGGGCGAGTTTATACTAACCCTTTTCGTTGACTGAGTCCTTAAGTTTTCCACTTACAGAATACAATGACCTCTGGAGTTACTTCAGCCTACGTCTGTTTCTTACAGAACCCAAATTTTAAGGCACTATTTCGCCTTACTGTCAGCCGTAGTAAACATTTTGCCACCAAATTAAATGCATATTAGTGAAGTGATAAAATTAAAATATAAGTAGAAATATAAGAGAAGCAATGAAAATGATCCTTTCAGCTCAGTTTAATATAATTTACCAGCAGCTTACGTGCTTGGGAAACTTAATTACAATTACAAATACTTGACAGCCGAACGCATAATTTCACAAGGGCTAAATTTTAAGTAGTAGATTATAATTAGGTACAAAGAATTGTTTAAGTACTTTACTTATAAACAAAAGCGATATTAAACTAAGTATGTCAATTATTCGATATAAATAAAAAGATATTACCTTTGCAGTATTACTATGATGATGAAATTAGGCCCGAGAGGTGCTGTAGAAAATTGCAGGGTAAACGGTCGTTACATTTTGGTCGCGTAATTGAGTTGTCTAATTTAAAAGTCATCTAATTTTCGCATAATTAGTTATTGGGGTTATTTCGACATTTACACTATTTAATTACATCCCATTCTCTACTATTCTACCACATTTTGGATAATGCGTATAAGAGTTCAATGTTGCGGAGGCCCCTTTACGAGGAGGCACTCCACAGGCCTCGAGGATGCTCTCGTTTTATGAACATTTCTATTTTAGGGTCATTTTACGCGGCTTGCAAAATGACATAAAGTCATAAAATGAATTGTACTGCAATGGCAATATTGAAATCTCCCCTACCTATATATTGGCTGATGTCGCATTCATAATTAGGTGTCAGTGACGTCGTCTATATTTTCCATTAATTAATCAAGTGTTTTGAAAATAGTGCGCAAGGAGAGTTATTAAAATCTATGACAAACTATGCACACGTATAATTGATGTGTGTACTGATTAACTACACCAACAGGTATGCAAATTGCAAATCTCATATTATATCTCGGAAGATCTTTGAATATACCTAGTTATAATCAAAGGTGAAGATTATACGCAGGAAGGTGCGGGTCTGCTGCAATGAGATCAGATATATGCATTGTACAAGGTTTCTCCTACGTATTATTATTTGCGTATTTTCGTGGGTTTACACATTTCACCTGAGAATACACATCTTTTACTAGAAGTATAAATAAAATATCTCCTAAAATTGTTGCTATTTTTCTATATCTATACCTAATAAAGATTCTAGAAAATTGCAACATTCCTGTGTCTACCTCTGTTAGCAAACTACAATAGCGAAAGACCTAAAAACTGATTACTGCCCGTATAGCATTACTAAGTCGTAATACCTTTTGTTATCGACCAATTATGAGTACTTTATGGTTTATTGTTTACTGTTCATTGTTCGGAATTATTTCCCAAGCACGTGATAATGTAACTTTTGTCACTTTAAACATATTTTAGACGAATTTCTTTGTTTAGACAATAGTCAACAAATTACTCAAACAGTAACAAAAAACAAACAATAATAAAAGTCCAGTAAAGCGATAGGTCACGACGATCACAATATTGGGGGTTGTCTCAGATGCATTACCTTTACTTAGCAAATCAAGAGAAGATAGGAGTTACTGTCCACTTTTCCATTCAATGATGGATTTTACCTAAAAGCATGGAGGCAACTATTCATTATGTGAACGTTTAGTTCATAAGCTACAGCACTAAGGGTCCCAAAATGTACGTATCTTCTTTAATTTTGTCTTATAAATCGTCAATCATTCAGTTTTCAGTTATTCTTATTCCTTTTCTGCTTTTTGTAAAAAAATTTCCAAAATTCCTACCCAAAAATGGTGCACACCTGAACGTAGGTGAAAACAAAATGGCGATATCCACGAAATTAGTTTACGTTGCACATTTCGATTACCTTTCAATACAACAGATTTTTTAAATATTGATTTTAATGCATCAGTAATGCATCAGAGCTCGTTGTGGACGGACGTGTTGCGGGCCGGTCAAATATCTATTATTGCACCAACGTGATAGCGCGTATCGTATTCAAGTCTAACTCGATAGCCGTTAGTTACAAAAACTTAAATTTGTTCAACCTTAAAATGAGTACCAAATGTGTAATCTGTGATAAAAATGTTTCGTTGGCAACAAAAGGGAAAATACATTGCAATGATTGTGATGGCATTTTCCACGGAGATTGTCTAAATCTAACACAGGAAGATATAGATCACCTAATCGGTGAAAAAGCAATATGGAGGTGTGGTGATTGCCAAACAATACGTAGGAAAAGCTTGTGTGTGGATACTTCTTCTAAGATGGCAGGATCTGAGGAAATTTTAAGTTATCTGCGAGAAATGAGAGAAGAGTCGAAAACACAAATGGAGAAGCTGGAAAGTGATCTAGGAAAATCAGTCGAAGGATGCCACGAGCAAATCGCAGAGCTACTCAAAATTACCGAGGAGCAATCGAAACTCTTAAGGGAGTATGATAAAAAATTTGAAGTGTTGCGGCAGGAAAACGTTAACCTGAAGGAAAAAGTAAAATCCCAAGAAGAGAAAATCGACGAATTGGAACAGTATTCGAGAGTGAACTGTGTGGAAATAAATGGTATACCAGAATCCAAAAATGAGGACGTGTTAAATATCGTTAAAAGCGTCGGGACTGCTCTAGAGATAAATGTGAGTGATGGAGATGTTGATGCATGTCATCGTTTGGGAACAAAACAAGAAGGAAGAATCCGAGGGATCATCGTGAAGTTCGTTAGGAGAGCAACAAAAGAAGAGTTCCTGAGAAAAAGGAAGATAAAACGAAACTTAAACACCAGCGACATTGGAAGTACAAATTACCCAGCCGATGTTGTCTACATAAATGAAAGTTTGAGCCCAGTGCGAAGAAAAGTGCTTGCTGCCGCAAGATCTGTCAAGCGTGACCATGGCTATAAGTTCGTTTGGGTGAAAAACGGAAAAATCTTCTTACGCAAAAATGAAGGCGACAAGGTCATCGTTCTTACAAACCTGGAGCAAGTAGCAATGTTAAATGGCAAGTAACGTTTTAAAATTAGTATACAATTTTTGTTTTATGTAAAATGGTAGTCTTAGAAAGCAATACTTTTAATTTATATGAGAATGATGTAATTATAGTACAGCAAAATATTAGAAGTATAAGAAAAAATTTTGATGAGTTTATCTTAAAATTACAGAATTTAATTACGTTACCTCACGTTATTATATTAACCGAAATATGGGTAAAATCCCACGAACTAAGTATGTACACCATCCCAAAATTTTCAATGTATGCAAACTGTAATCAAAATTATAGAGCAGGTGGTGTTATTATCTATGTAACCGACGAGTTAGAGAATCGTGTTATGGTAAGCCCCGAAATGAAAACAGCAGATAAAGTACATGTGCAAATAAGTATATCTGAAAGCATTTGTTTAGATGTGATAGGCATGTATAGATTACAAGCGTTTCATGAAGAATGTTTTGTGGATGAACTATGTAATATATTGACAGTAATTAAAAACAAAAATCTTGTGTTGAGTGGAGATATCAATATAGACTTATTAAAAAAATCGAGTAATGTAGATAACTATTTAATTAACATGTCAAACTTTGGGTTAGAGTCTCTCATACACGTTCCAACTAGAATAAATTCGAGTTCCAATACGTTAATTGACCATCTTTTTGTTAGGTGTAACGGAAAACTTATCATATGTAGTAGTATGGTAATTGATTCCCAAATTACTGATCATTGTATGACAGCCCTTTGTATAAAATGTGAACGAAATAAAAATATTAAAATGAGCAATGAAAATAATGGTAAGTTAAAATTAGATTTATGTAAGCTAAAAAAATTACTCAAAAACACAAAATGGGATGCAGTTTATGCAGCACATACTGTTACACAAGCATATCAAATTTTTTTTCAAACACTTAAACAAAATATTGCCAACTGTCGGCAGTCAAAAATTAATCAAAAACGGCAGCCATCAAAATTAAAACCCTGGATGAATAAAACAATATTAAAAAAGGTAAAAGAAAAAAATGCATTGTACAAAAAATGTAAGCAACAGCCGAACAATGAGCAACAACAACAAGCTTATAGAAAAATAAAAAATGAACTTGTTACTGATATAAAACTGACAAAAAACCACTATTACAAGCATAAATTTACAGAAAGTAACGACCCGAGAAAACAGTGGGCTACTGTAAAAGAAATCTTAGGAGAGGATAGCAAGAAAGGTACGGAAATATTTCTTAAAGATAGTCAAAATGTTAGGATAACTTGCCAAAAGGCGGTAGCTGATGTTTTTAATCGGTTCTTTGTCACAGTAGCCGATAGTCTTAGAAACACCGTATCCAAAGACCAAATTGACATAAGAATCTCCAATTTTAGTCATGTTTATGAAATCAATTTCAAAAAACAGTGTATCCTACACTCAATCTTTTTATACCCTGCAACGAAAGAAGAAATACGGGCATTGATAAATTCGTTATCAACACGTAAATCTCCAGGATTTGATGACATTTCACCGCAGCTAATAAAGAACATCAGTGATCATATATTAGATGTAATAGTCTACTTAATAAATTTTAGTTTCACTGTTGGAGAATTTCCAGAGGACTTGAAAAGAGGAATTGTTATCCCTCTTTATAAGAAAGGAGACAAAGAAAATACAGATAATTATAGGCCTATCACGCTCCTATCAGTATTTTCAAAACTATTTGAAAAGGCAATGAAAAATCGTTTACTGAAATTTCTAAATAGTTTCGATTATTTTAGCAAACAGCAATTTGGATTTAAAAAAAACTCGAACACTGAAGATGCACTCCTAAATTTCATTGAGGAAATATATAATGGACTAAACAAAGGCGAGTATTGTTCAGGATTATTTATAGATATAATGAAGGCCTTTGACACAGTTGATTATACACTTCTACTAAATCGATTATGGAATGCTGGAATCAGAGGGGTTGCTTATAAATGGTTCCGTACGTTCTTAATTGGTCGATCACAACAAACGAGAGTTTGTGGGAAGCTCAGTGAAACAGAATATGTAAAAACCGGAATACCACAAGGTTCAGTTTTATCAGGACCCCTATTCCTTATTTACGTAAATGAGCTATGCAACGGCTGTTTCAGAGGACAATTGTCTGCTTTCGCGGACGATACAGCACTTGTTTACAGATCAGGTACCACTGAGAATCTTAAACTAAGTATGGAACACGACCTGCTTCTCCTAAGACTCTGGTTTACCAACAACTACATGGTACTGAGTCCCAAAACCAAATATATGACTTTTTATTTAAGAAGACGTTTCAGTTTGGAGTCACCATTAAAATATCATGAAGTAAATTGCACTACGAACTGTAGATGTCTAGAAATAGAGATGGTAGACCAAATGAAATACTTGGGGATTGTGGTGGATTCGAAACTCAGCTGGAAACCACATATAGCACAAGTAAAAAACAAATTACTCCAGTACATGAGAATATGTTATTTATTAAAGGATTTATGTTCTCCTGCTTTCCTTAAAACAGTATACTATGCGTTTGCCAACTCAAAATTAGAGTATGGGCTATCAGTGTGGGGAGGAACTTACTCTACGACAATTAAACCACTAATTACGATACAAAAGTGTTACATCAGGATAATCTGCAATATGGGAAGAAGAGAGCATACAACTCCCCTGTTTAAAAAAACTTAAAATTTTGCCAGTAGGAAGCTTATATATATACAAAGTGTTAAAAATATTTTATAACAGAAGTACCAAAGAACGTGCTGATATCCGGAAAAAAAATGGTACGACAAGATACAAATCAAATGTAAACGTCCCTCGACCAAGCATTAATCACTTCAGAAAATTTTACACCTACTTAGCACCAAAGTTTTACAACTGTTTACCTTTACATATCAAGGAAATAAAAACAAAAACTATTTTCTTAAGAACCATAAAAAAATACTTATTTAACTTGGATACTACCGACTTTTTTTACACAATAATTGAGTAATAATTTTCTTCTAATCAACTATAATATAAATTAAACCCATTATATCAAGTAACAATTGCGGCGTCTTATAATTTTGTAATTAAAATCACACACACTAGTTAAAGAGAAAATATTGACCGGTCCGTCCCCTTACCCTGAAATAGTGAGCATGAAAAAGTATATGTGTAAAACCCAAACAGGCTAGTAGCCTCGGGTTTAATTTTAGTTTCTCTATTATCTTAGATCTTGTGTGCAAATACGCAAATACTTCGGTAGGAGTAGTTTACTGTAAAACTAAAGATAATAAAGAAAAGATTCATTCATTCATTCATTTTTGAATTGGTTTCCATTGATTTTATACATACATAGTTTTTTATATTGCCAGCTATCCTATCCTATCGGACAAATTCCTGTAAAATGGAAAATATGTCCGATCGGTTTCCAACTTTTTGTGTGTGCCCTATATAGTTAGTTATATCCGTAACAAAAAATGCTACCCGTACAATATGTACGTTTTTTACAGAACATATAAAAAAATAAAGTTGATAATAATTTCTCCGAAAGGAAAAGGTGCATTGAAAATCTCTTAACCCTGTCTTCAAGAACTCAAATAGTGGCAATGAGAAAGTGTTATTGTTGTATCTGTTCAAATAACATCGGAAAAAAAACTAATTCGGCAAAGTTTGGTTTTTCTGCCATATCTTCGGAAATAATCGAAATCTTCGGGTTTTCTTTAAAGCGCAACGTTTCCTTAATTTGACCATCTTAGTAGTGTCTTCTATGGTTTCCTTGATTCCCATGATAGACGTCTCTATCTTGGACATAGTGTACTAATTTCATGATGAAATAGGTATGTTTTGCCTTATTTTGGCATGGTGTCATAATTAATTCCTTTTAATTTAAACGTGACATCGCCTTTTATCAACTTTCTCTCCCTCTGCGCCGAAGCTGCTCAAAAAGCGAAGGTAAGGTGTACCATAATCATTACGTGAGAGATAATGAAGGCGTTTACTTTCTTTATTTGTAAGTACCGTCTACTTAATTAGTTTCCCACCGAGGATGTTGACATCTTTTGTTCTAGTGATCATCGTTTACTTATGCATTAACGTACAATCAAGACAAATTGGTTTTGGGTACTACAATTTGGGTTATTGGAATAAAAACAACTGGCAGCAATTGCAGACCACAGCCCCTAGTGGCACAACGACAACCACCGCCACTCCAGCCTTTCGAAGATGCGTTTCAGATTGCCTAAGTCGCGTAACAAAGCAATACGATCCGATATGTGCAAGCAATGGCCAGTCGTTCGATAATGTAAGATCGTTCAGATGCGCGCGAAGCTGCGGTCTAAGTAAGTTGGATCAAAGTTATTAACTTTACATTATATGTTTTTTCAAGGAGCACGGTATGAATCACCTGGTACATGTGGGCCGGCTCTTAGTAAATAATTATGGAAGCACATACAATTAACGTAAAATGTGAGAGTTAGATTTAAATGCACGTGGCAAGTCCAGAAGTGGATCGTCTACACTAAATCTTGAGCAAAAGTGTTGTGTTGAAAGGCAGAGTGGCCGTTGTTCAAAAATTCTGTTGAGATAAAAGGGAGTAAAGAAGACACAATCACTTGATTTGAGAAAATTTGACATGTGTTTGATTTTTTAATTTTTATTTTCGTTTTGTCTAATTTTTATTCCCATTGTACAGTTTCTGACTTATTTAATGTCCCTCGAATGCCTCATACCTGCCACATAGGCAACCAACATTCCATTTACTTAATTAATTCGTTTGACTTCGGTTTTTAAGTGGAATAGAAGGGATGCCGTTAGTTGTAATTTATCCGCACACCTTTTTGCCAAAGCGGGCAGCAAAATCTTCGATTTACCTGCTAGGAAACTTACGCACATGTAACCTCGCTTCATGGCATATTTATTAATATTGGCGCGTCTAAAATTAGAAACGGCGATTCATTTGACAAATACCTATTAAAAAAAGAATCTTGTTGCAATATGCGACAATAATAACCCACCCATCGTCTTTTAATTCAATTCGTCCAAGTACAATTTTTGAATTAATTAATCAAAATTGTAATGTCTAATTGTTCAAAAATCCTACTTTTAATTTTTATAGGGCGAACTTATACAGCTATCTGCGTCTCAAAGTAGTCGGGATAAGATAACTAGATTAATAACATATTTAGCCAATTCAACCTTGGGTCTTTCTTTTCAGGATTGCTTGAAAACAGGTTTATTTATTACTTACTATGTAATTAACGGTTACCTACTCATGTTATAATTGAAAGCCGTATAGGTATTGTAAGATTATATGAATGCGGGTGGAAAAATTTTCGATTTATTCGAAAGTCTGTAACCTTTTCATGGCACATTTATTTCAATTGGCACATCTAAAATTGGGAAGGGTAATTTACTTCCACTTCATTAAAAAATAAATTTTTTTCAGTTCAATTTTTCGAGCGTTAATGTTAAATTAATTAACTAATTCTTAAATTCACAAAGTTGCTTAAAAATAATACTTTTTACTTATACTGCGAACATAACTAGTGTCCTTCCTTGGAAAATAAACTTTTAAACTCATACTTTGTAAGGTGTACCTAATCTATCTAACGAAACACGATGGATTAATTCGAATTAATGATTTGTGATCTAACCTTCATCAACTTGCAATCAAGATATAATTAACTAATAAAAGAAAAAGAACTGGTGGAGAAAGTCCTAATGGCAATATGCAATTCATGAATCATATCTTCATATTGGTTTCATCGGGAGGGACCTTATCAAAGTTGTTACCTGAATTCCACCAAAACTCCAACTGAGGATTACAGACCTGACCCCGCATGTTAAAACAATTTCCGAAATTTGATTATTTTCCATGAACCGTAAAGGCAGTCAAATTTTTATCGATTTTGCAAAACCTAAGTAATTAGATTTTCATGGAAACCAAAACAAGTCTTTCCATCTTTCCAATTAGTAGGGATTTCAATTTTGTTAGGTTAATCAGATAGAGAAAGCGATTTATAGGAACCCAGAAGAAAAATGAGGTAAATAATTGATAATGACTTTTTCGATCAGGGAATACATAATTTGTAAGGTGCCAACATATTATTTTATACTTACTAAAATACCTTTTTTCCAATATTCCATAGTAGTGACGATTTACGAAACTAGCAAAATAGAATATAACTGGCTTGGTTACCATTTCGGCCGACTTGATAATAAGACTACCTATATAGATTAAATTTAAAAAAATATGTTTAATTACATCGATGAGACATCATTACGAATTCTTTTATAAGGTAGAAACTTCAAAATATTGGATAGAACGTTGTATGGCATACGTGAGTAAAGGCTCTAAAATAATCTACTGATACAATAAAATACTAAAAATCAGAGTTTATTCATTTTACATAAGATCGCTTAATTATTCCCCCAACATTTAAAAACAATTCATATATGTAGTAGGTAATCTTACAAACCTTACGGCTTTTAATTTTAAAATGAGTAGGTAACTGTTAATTACTAAGTAATAAATAAACCTGTTTTGACGCAACCCTGCAAGGAATGTTACCGAAATTGAATTGGTTAAATAAGTAATTAATGTTCTTATCTTATCCCAACTGCTTTGAGACGTAAGGAGCTGAATAAATCCGCCATATGAAAATAAAAGTGTTTTTTTTTATTAACTATGCATTACAACTCTGGCAAATTAAAATCTGTAACTTAGGAGAATTAAATTAAAAGACGACGGACGGTTTATTGTATTGACATATTGGAACAAGAGTTATTTTTTGTCAAATGAATCACCTTTCCTAATTTTAGACGCGTCAATTTTAATAAATATGCCATGAAGCGAGCGAGGTTACATGTGCGTAAGTTCCCTAGCAGGTAGATCGAAGATTTTTCT